GCTTTACGATTATGTATGGTGCATAATTCGCAAATTAATGATGTTCGTATAAAAATTGGTTTAACTTTAGGGGATTATATCTTCGGTGCGGATGAAGCTAGAAATTTGCCTCAAATTCATGAATGAACCTCGTGATGTTTTTTAAATGGACTCGTCCATCTAAATTAATATTCATGCAATATGCAAGTCACCCGTAAAGACAAATTAAACACGACAGGGGGTCCACGCGGTGTTTGCATGCAACTTGTTTATTCGCCGCTGCGAGTAAAAATGGTAACACGTGGTGTTTATTGTGTCATAAAACTGATAATGATCGATATATCACAAAAAGAAAATATGCAGATTAGGCAGAAATCTATATGCTTTTAAAATAGCCTTTGTGCAAAAATATTTGACAACTAATGACAAAATAACAGGAAAAATGCCACAGGTAGTACCAAATTCCTGCAAATTTCCAGTTAATCGGCGTGCTTATCAGCGGCTAACTGGGGTTGCTATTACATTTGAAGGCGGTTTACTGTACGTAACGTTACTTTAAAGTTTCACTCAAGATGAGTTAAACGTCTTAGAAAACTAATTTACACTTCATTCCATAGTCCATATTCTTCCATATTTCAAATCGGCACTGATCATGTCAATGATTTGCTGAATTTGGCTAAACTGGTCGGGGACAGGGACAGTCAACAGAGCAGTCTTATTGAACATTTTCCATTCAGATTTCATAATTTAAAGCTAGCGATTTTTCTACATCATACTGCTTTAAAATCGTTTTCGATCACTCTAAGCAGATATACATTGTATACATTTAAGAGACATGCTATAAGATACAAGGGAATCCGGGAACCAGTCCCTAGCTCTAATGAATAGACCCCTTGGTTTCTTTAACATGCCCAGGTGTATAGGCACTGATACATGGGAGGATTACCTGGATTTCATACCAGTACACCTCTAGGTAGGGTGGGAATCACTGAAAGTGTTTCTGAAAAATGTCAAGGGTGTAACCAGGATCGAACCCGGGACCTCAGGTGTGATAATCAGTGGGGTTTAACCAACTGAGCTATCCCACCACTATATTGAAAAATTTTGGCAGCAGTATAGCTGGGTTATTTCCCTAACTAACAAACTAGTTTATTTAGTTCTGATTATGTTGGCACTTGATTTATATCTGACTCTAATGCCTGTCAAGAAAGGTATCAAAATTACATAAATTGCAGGATTTTTTTTTGGCTTATTTTTTTAGCCGATATTTGGTAATATTCCCAATTAGAATATTTTTCCAATCCACAGGAAAAAATTCCAAGTTGAATGTTAACAAAATAAAAATATTGAATAACAAATTCTAAAATGTTTGAAGATGCCATCCTAGACAGTGATTCTTTGCATTCATTTAATCAACGCAAAATTCAAGTCATACATTTTTCCCAATCTTTAACAAAACTTTGTTGAAAATCCCAACTCAATGGGTATGGGTCATGTTCCAAAAATCCTGGGGGAAAAAACAACCTGAATTGTCCACACTACAGTGCTATGTATCTGGATAGATATCATATGTAATTGATGATGATTTAATTAAAATAAAATTCAATAAAAAAAGCTTGGGTGTTTAAGTTTATTTTTTAACACGATATCCAATATTTTGCAGCAATTGCTATACTTTGGGATATTCTATATTGTTTATGCTGCAAATAAGTATAGCCAGTATAAAAAGTCTTGTATACAGAGCAACAGATAAGCTTTAAAAGTGAATTGGGTATTACTCCATCATTTCCTTTGGAATTGGGTATTGGCTCCATTTAATTGGGTATTCCAAAACTCGATACCCTATGATTTCAAGATCAATTGGGTATTCAATTATGAAGATATGAATTTTATGGTTTCAATATCAATAAAATTAAATTTAGATATCTTAACTGTTTTAAAAAGAAAATAGGATTAACAATTTACTAGAACTTTTCACAATTGTTTTATTTTTTATATAAAATGCTCATGTTAAATTTCATAATATTTTGAACAAGTTCATTTTCTGACTGATTTTTTATTATTTGCGACTGTTTTGTTTCAAATCATTTTCACTTTGTACGACACCATATTGCTTTTCAAAGCGTCTATTGATACAGCTGGGACCTACCTATTGACGGTCTCCGCAAAATCAACGGTCTCTGCCGGTCTGTAAAGACCGTCAACCTGAGCAGACAAATCGACGGTCTCATGCTTAGTCGGTCTTTGGAGACCGTAGACCGTTGATTAGTTAGCATTGATTCGGGAATATTCGGATATCATGCATATCGATATAATTTGTCCAAAACTACGAGTGTACGACAGATTAATTTTGCGGTGAAAAAAATCACAATACGCACGGGTTTTTAAGACAATTGCGTATTTTACTTTTTTTAATGGGTTTTGATACGCATTCTTAAAAGATCAATTGCGTATTTTATAAAATTAATTGCGTAAATACGCAAATACGCACCTTATCTGTTGCTCTGTGTATAGCACTCTTGATGTCCCAATTTTCAGTGTCAACGTTCTTGAAATAGACATTAAAATATTATCGTTTACATAAATTGAAGTAAATTTAATTATTTGTAGAAGAATTATGTAATTATTGTTGATTGAAAAGTGACAGATTGTTGATAAACATTGAACAAAGAAAGAAAAACTAAATCCGGCATTTTCATGGCCGTTAGGGTTAGGTGGTTGTCTCGTTTTGGTGGTTCCCAACCAGTACTGTACAGTACACCAGTTGGGGGAAAAAAATTAATCAATGAAATTTTAAAACGCAGATGAAATGCATATAATGATATGTTTGATCTCTATAAATTTCAGAGTGACAACACAGCAACAATTCGCACCAGGAAGTTCATGACCAATCGTCTGTTATGTCGGAAGCAGATGGTAAGAGGAATTAAGAATTTGTTCTTTTTAGACGCTCACCTGGCACTGTGTTCCAGAATGAGCTTTTACATTTAGATTTGTATGCAGCATATCTGTTCATATTTTTTCTTACATCATCTCTGATACCACTGGGACAATGTTAGTAAAACTTATTATGTTAATGCCCAGTTGTAAGAATAGAGACATTATTATTAAAGCAAAATTTTTATAAGTTATATCCCTTTTAAACTTAATAGTGAATTCAGGGCCCTCAGTCTACCAATCTGCGATCAATATTCAGCCGCAGTCCCCCCAAAAAATGTACTGGGATCCTACATATTATCGGACAAAATATGAAGTGTTTTATCTGTAACTTTTATTTAAAATAATAAAAAAGAATGGAATTTTACCCAAATAATTTTGGGTTCTTAATGCACGTAAACATTCTTTTATCAAACATGAAATTTAACATTTGACTGTAGAAATGTGTCTTTAAAGTAGGCCATTATAAGAGGAAAAAAATCGTGCAAACAACTTAATTTACCGGACATTGTGTTTCAAACATTTTTGAAGTCGTAAATTAAAATTAATCTTTAATCAGCAAGGAAACTACAACTATTAAATGGCAAGGTTTAGATATTTGAAAAACCCAGTATGTCACTAGAAATAGACACGGCAGCCATGTCTGTTAGGCCTAAAAAAAAAATTGATGTGTTTCTGGTGGCGAGGCGAAAAAAAGTAGGGTCGGTAGGTCGGACTTTTTTTTTTTTTTTTTTTTTTTAGTCAATCAACGATTGAAGATATGTCAGATACGGATTATATGGACTTTAAATTATATTCTATAGCATATAAAAGTACTTTAAAATGTTAGACTACCAAACCTAGTGTTCAATCTTATATTTTGAAATAAATTTTACCAATGGCACGACTCGACTTTCGTTTTCATTTTTTTTATTCTTACCGAACAACTGGCTTCAATTTAAATATTATCACTCTTAACATGACCATGCACGTCCGAAAAATGTTTTGAGCTGTTTTGCTGTTGTCTATTAATTTGATTTCCTGTTTTGCCAAACTATGATCGTATTTTTTAAAGAAAATCGCCAGCAGTGACACTTCGGCTGCTTGTTGTTCCGCCATATTAGCCGGTGCGTGTTAATACGTAATTGGAACACGAATCGTCTGTGCCTCACATCGTTGTCGACTCGCAATACTAAAACCCGTCTTCGGTACGGTCGGTATGGGCGCCATTTTTTTTTTTTGTACACCGATAAAAAAACTTTGGGTCGGCGCTAAAAAAATAGGGTCGGTCGGGCCACCGGAAAACACAACATTTTTTTTTTTAGGCCTTATGAAGAGGCCAATATATGGTGCAGTGGTGCAGGGACTGCGTTCAGGGCGAAGTCGGGTGAAAACTTCGCTGTAAATATTTTCACTTCGCCCAATATGATCTGAAAAGCGAAATTCTAGTCGCCCTAAAATCTAAATGAAAAGTCTGACATGTATATTCTCCACTCTATCATACTGCCTAGAGGCAGATTTAATTGTGTAATCTGACGTAATTAGCACACGCGCTGAAGCGTGGCCATAGCGACATTTGGAAATCCACATCGCTCAAAATAGTGCATTATACGGTACATTAAAGCTGTGAAAGACCCTGATATGAATGCAGCAGATGATAAAAAGCTAGCTAATTGATTATTAAGTTACCTCAAACAATATCCCCTGTACGTTTTTTTGATTTACAATCCCTTTATGTCCTTTTTGATTTACAATTTCCCCTATATGTCGTGTTTGATTTACAATATCCCCTATATGTCCGGTTAGATTTACAATTTCCCCTATATGTCCTGTTTGATTTACAATATCCCATATCAGGGCTCATCCTGGGGGGAAATTTTAGGGAGAAGTGACGACCTCGCGAAAATTAGGGAGAAGGGAAACAACCCAATGTGTATGCATTAACATGCATGGCTATACATCCTTTAATTATAATATAAACACAATCAACATCACTTATAATATTTCTCCAGTTTATTAATTAATAGCAGTATTAATTAAAAGTAGATTAATTATTTAGTAGTAGATCAGGCTTTCTCTAAATATGTGTTTATATATTTTCATGTACATTTGTTGATAATAATGTGTAAGAAAGGATGATGATAAAATCAATTTCATATTTTTTACTTAACTTTCCTCACCTTTAAAAGAAAAGATGAAGTCACATTGGATATATAGAGGATATTTGTTTGTTTTGCATGTAAGATTGAAATATAATTTCACTGAGTGAACACCAGATCGATATTTTCACGAGTGGCGTAGCCACGAGTGAAAATATAATAGCTGGTGTTCACGAATGAAATATATTTCAATCTTATATGTAAAACAAATAAATTTTCTTTTTATTTTATGCTTTTTTGGTGATTTTAAGTTTCTTTTTACTGATTTTGCCGCGTAACGTCGCGCATTCTCCTTTGTGACGTCGTCATTATATCATGACGTCACATCATAAGTTTTGAAATAAAGTTCTGTTAAATTTCTCTAATTTTGTTGAATTTTTAACATGATGTATGATGACATTGACTTTCTTTTCCTAAATAAGCAAATTAACGTACGACGGCATTTATCTCTGCCTGTTATTCCATTTGGTTATGATTTTCTTTTCATCCGCATTCAGATATAGTCCGGCTACAGTGAAAATTATATTTTATAAATTTCACTAGTGGTTTATCAGAATATAATCATCTGATATATTGTAATAAAACACTGGAAAGCATGAAATAATGATTAATAATATATGTTCTATTCTGTTCTGGTAACAGAAATTTCTCTCAAAGTCCTGAGTGTGTGTGTATTTGCGTTTATTTATACTCGCCACCGGTTGCCCATATGGGCGAGCCCTCAAGAAGAGTATTAGTCATTTTATTTTTCGGAGGATAGTGCAATTACAGATACAATGTTGTAATGTCACATTTATATGCAAATAATTATGCTTATAAAACAATTTTCAAACATCAAAGAATATGTAAAATATGTACTGCAAACAATTGTGCACATTATATTTGATCACTAAAATTACATACATTCATTTCTTATTGAAAACTTTGACTGAGAAATTGTAGAAAATTAATTTCTAATTACCTCCCTTTATTTTCATGAAATGTTAAATTCGGTAATATCTTTATAAATAATGCTTTTTAAAATTTGCAATATTGATAAATCTTAATCTGAGCATCATATTTACGAATTTATTTTGAAACAATAAGAACACATCTTTCCAGACAAATGTTGTTATATACACGTTACATGACATACGACCGATATGTAGTTAAGCCGGGATGTCTTTCCCACGTGCGTAAACTGTGTCAAATTTGGCATTTCTACAAAAAGAACAATGCCAAACACCCTTACTGTCTACAACATACCAATCGCAAGATTTTTGCGAATTGGCTTTCTTAAATTTTCGCGTATCAGAATCAGTAACTTTCTTACTGCTCGGTTACGGCATTTCGCCTTGTAGCCATGACGTGAGGGACATAACAATTTTACAGTAAAAATTGATGTTAACAGACTGAAATCATTCAAAGCTATGATTAAGTTTTTAATCTGGTTGCTGATCATTAATGAAATTGATTATTTTTAATTGACTAACAGTTTTGTGATAGCCGTGAAAAATCCATTGCACATCGCCCTTTACTCGGGTTAAAAACCCACCATCGAAGTGCATCGTGTACATCAATTAGGGAAGATTTGTACTTTTTAGATAATCGGGGAAAAAAACAATTTATAATTATCGCAAATCCCGTATTAAACTCGCAAAACTATCACACAATTATACCGTTTCGGGCCGATGCTCTCATTATTTACTGTTTAGAGTAGGCGGTCTATCGCTTCGCTTACAGGTAGAAGGGTAGTATAAAGCGACGCTCTGATTGGATAATGATAATTAGCGGTCGTCATATGGGCGGAAACAATCTCTGCTCTTTACATCGCTAAGTAATTACTATTTGGGAATTAAGATTTTATCGGCAATGTTGACTTCTCTTTGATCAATCGGAAGAGCGAAATTGGAATATACACGGCGAAGTTTTCGCCTGAATCGCCCTTCCGGATGAGCCCTGCCATATACATTTGCCGTCCATTCTTGTTATCACCATTACATTTATGATAGTAGATCTAATATTCATCATTAAAACTGATGTAAATTGATAGAATTTGGATAATTATTATGAATTAAAGAACTTCTCTTCTTAATTAATTGCATTTAAAAGTTAAGAGTCAGAAACTGTTGAACCTAGAAAAAAAAAAAAATGTTGTGTTGATGCAGGGCTCTCGTTAGCATTTTGAGACTGGGGCCGGGGAATTTTGCATGATTTTCAAGTATTTTTCATTGAAGGGGGGATTTTTTTTTCCGGTAAGACTTGAAATTGTGCGACATGTTGGAATGCTAAAAACTGTCCAGAACGTTTTATTGTGTCGCCTCTACGGAGTAGTGGCGACATATAGGGATCACTTCTCCGTCGTCTGTCTGTCTGTCTGTCTGTCCGTCCGTCACAAAACTTGTCCGGACTACTCCTCATAAACTACTGGTGCAATTTCATCCAAACTTTACAGGAATGATCAGTACCAAGTCTAGTTGTGCATATTGTCAGGATTTTCCGGTTCAATGATTTTTGTCAGAGTTATGGCCTTTTAATAATTTTTAATTTTAAAGTTTGTCCGGACTACTTCTCTTATACCACTAATGCAATTTCAATGAAACTTTACAGGATTGATCTGTAGCTCAAGTCCTTGCGCATATTGCACGGGTTTTCCGGTTGAATGATTTTTGGCCGAGTTATGGCCCTTTGATAAAAAGGTTTCTTTTTCTGTGTGTTGCCAGATACACAAAAGCTTGTCCGGACTACTCCTCATAAACTACTGGTGCAATTTCATCCAAACTTTACAGGAATGATCAGTACCAAGTCTAGCTGTGCATATTGTCAGCATTTTCCGGTTCAATGATTTTTGTTGTGAGTTATGGCCCTTTAATAATTTTCATTTTTAAAGTTTGTCCAGACTACTTCTCTTATACCACTTATGCAATTTCAATGAAACTTTACAGGATTGATCTGTAGCTAAAGTCCTTGCGCATATTGCACAGGTTTTCCGGTTGAATGATTTTTGGCCGAGTTATGGCCCTTTGATAAAAATGTGTTTTTTTCTGTGTGTTGCCAGATACGCAAAAGCTTGTCCGGACTACTCCTCATAAACTACTGGTGCAATTTTATCAAAACTTTACAGGAATGATCAGTACAAAGTGGTTAGTCTAGTTGTGCACTGTCCGTCTGTCTGTCCGTCTGTCACAAAATTTGTCCCAACATGAAATTGGCCATCATGAGGCGACACATGTGATTACTGATCGCTCTTGTTTATATATCCATACTAATTTCCGGTTGCCGTTCGCTGAATATATATTCGCCGATTGGCGTTTTCTATGCCTGTTAAATATAAATTTCAAGGGATTTAAATTCGGCCCCAAATTTTACCAAACGAGAGCCCTGTTATGTAATGTTGTGTTGATGTGAATCAAATGATTACAATCAACTATTACTTCATTAAATATCATCATAGCGATTTCCAAATACACATTTGTTTATTTTAATGCTGCTTTTGACAGGTAAAATTGATCTGTTTCACAGCATTTTTGTCAGCAGAATATAATATGTCTGCTCTGTTGCACATGGTTTGATATTGCACTGGGAAGACTTTCTTCCTGATGTTATTGATAGTTGTTGCCCTTAACAGACAAGCATTTACACGGTATGCAGTTCTCTTTATCTTAATGTTTCAGGTTGTTGATTGTCTCCATCCCGGCAAAGCCACACTAGCTAAAACAGAGGTGCGAGAAAAGCTGGCACGCATGTACAAGACCACACCTGATGTCATTTTCTGCTTTGGTTTTAAAACACAGTTTGGTGGAGGAAAAACATCAGGCTTTGCCCTCATATATGACAGCTTAGACTTTGCAAAAAAGTTTGAACCAAAATACAGACTTGCTCGAGTGAGTTTCATGTAGTAGATTTGAAGGGCATCTGGTATTGGTTTAGATAATCTCTATTCAGTACTGAAAAGAACAGTTGACAATGTGTATGGATTCTTCATAATGTCTGAAACCATTGTGCAGGGATTGAAAAAAAATTCAGAGCCACTTGTTCTGAAGAATGAGTGGCTTCAAATTTCTACTCGTCCTGCATGGTATGCTACTTGTCAGGATTTTCAGAAAGAATCTCGCTGATGCAAATCAACCTCTCGAAATTTTATCAGTTTGTTTACTCAAAATTTAACGAATCAAAAATGGAAACAAAGCTTGTGTTAGGTTATGTATTAATCACGCAAGTAATACAGCATTGTGGGGGATTTTCCACTCACAACCGTATCCAATTAACAATGCGTAGTGTGCATAACCTAAAACACAAGCTTTGTTTCAGGTTTTCCATCTTTAAAAGTAAGCAAACAAGATTATGAGAATTCTAGCTTCCTATTACATAGGCAAATTTCCTCTTGTCTGGTATCATTTTTTAGTCGTCCTGCATCGATCTCTACTCATAAATATGAGGGGATGAGTGGATATTTTCGATCCCTGCTGTGTGACATTCTGAAGTAATATGATTCCCTTTCCAAATCAGAATAGACTATGTAGTAACTGTAGTTTTTTAGATATTTGGGTAAATTTTTGATGAAAAAATTCAGCACAATATATTTGTGTGGAGTTGTAAAAAAGGATTTTAGTAACAATTTTGAAAGAATTGCTTATGTAGTTTTATTGACTTGCATGAGAAAAAATGAGCCGCTTCAAGACAAAACCCAACGTAATGGGTTTGCGACCAGCATAGATCCAGACCCAGCGCCTGCCGCATTCGCCGCAGTCTGATCAGGACCCATGCTGTTCGCTATAAGTTTTCTACTTGCTATAGGGTTTGTTAAGCGAAACAGTATGATTCCTTTGTCGTGACGCGGCTCAAATGGACATACTGAAATCAATAAATTTCATTGCAAAAGAAATAACAAAAATTTTTAACGATTTTGCTTAATTTATGTTTTAAATCAAGCCTTAAATTATCTACAGCATGGGATTAGTTGAGATTAAAAGAACAGGTAGAAAACAGAGAAAAGAAAAGAAAAAACAGAGTAAAAGGAAAGTAAGAGGGGCACAAAAAAAGCAAAAGTTGGAACTGGCAAAAAGGTAACTAGGAAATATACATTTCTAAAAATTTAGCTGAATTAAAAAATTTAATGCAGTGGCAGTCAAATAAAATTTGTCTTTAGGAAATGTATTTTTAACAATAGTATTCATAGCTATATTATCACATATAGCAGACTTTAAAAATACACAGCTAAGGTCTTAGTCTTTATGCCATTTGCCCCTCAGCAGTTATTTCTTTCCAGAAAAAGTATGCCACTGTAAAAACAGTTTACTACGATACATTTTGGAATATTCTGTTTCAAATTAAAAAAATGATTTTTGCAGCAGATAAATAAGCTTTATGCACTTTAGTAAGTTTCCTCTCTAGAATAAGTGGTGTGAAATAAAAAAAAAAGTTCATTATTCATTGTTGAATACAATACATTGGACTCTGCCAGCCCCTTGTTCTACATAGGTTTTACAGCTGTGCACTAGTCCGATAGATTTCAGTATTGTATTCAACAATGTATGTATGACAACCTCAAAATAATATAAGAAAATGTCCTAGATCTACTTGAAATATCCTATGTGTCAGATTTTGTTTGTTTGTTGTTTTTTTTGTTTGTTTTTTTTTTTAAACTGCATATTTGTTAAATGTGGCTGTAAATCAAGAAAAAAGTAACTGAAATTTTATCTTGATAGTTTTGAGGTTATTCAGAATTTTTGAATCAGCATGTATGAGTGACACACATTTATTTGTTTTTACAGAAGTAATTTTATCAGGTAAAATGCTACAGTATTTAGAGTGTGATTTTAAGATTTACTTTGTCCCACCCCTAAAATTTGTTTTTTCACTTCATTGCTGTAATTATTAATGTCCATCTGTCTCCACAATTACTAGATATTTTGATAGTTTTAGTACAGAAAATGTTCATTTTTAAATGCAATATGCTCGTAACAAAAAAAAAACAACAAAAGTACATGGATGACAGTATATTTTAATGAGATTGCCCCTTACAGGCGACATCCAAGCAACGCTTTTCTAGGGCAAAGCATCTACATGCATTGAGGGGATTTTTAATGTAAAATGGCACAAAATTTTTACAATTTTGAGGTCCCTGTGGCCAATGTTGAAGTTAGATTAAAGATATAAAATGGGTGTGTGGACAATAAGTAGTTTTTGAATTGAGTGATTAATTATCACAAATTTTCACAGAGGACTTAGTTTATTAGCATTATGTCACCAGAGCATAACTTAATGTCCAAAAGTAGAGTATATATGGCTATTTGATATCATGAGAATGTCTCGCTTGCATGAACCTAATCAACACCATTAGGGGTAGTGTCATGCTTCATGAACAAATCTCTAGGTCAAACGTGTTCAACAGTGTTACACACAAATTAAAGTCCTTTCGGGTTAAGGTCAAGGTTAGATATTTGATAAGTATAAAAATTTATATTTGTAGTCTTGAAGTAAATATAATTATGACAGATGCATAAGACAGAGTATTTTCAAGCATAAATATAGTCAATATATGCAAGGTCACAAAGACATCATGAATTTGTTTTGGGGTTTTGATGTAAAATTTTTCATAAACATTTATTGAGGACACTAAAAACCATTTATGATGGGCATATTTTTATGAAGTGTTAGATCAAGAAACCATACTTTATAAACTTTAACGATAAAACTCTTTTTCAAAATGAACTATTTAATGGAGTTCAGATGGAACACCATTCACGATCCCCTAAATTTTTTTTTTTTTGCGCCGGCCTAGTGTGTGTGATATCTAAACTTTTAGAATGCTACTTACTTAGTGAAATAATATTGAAAGATAGTGTTTGGCTTCATGTAATTTTTCTTCATGGCTCTTTACTTAACATGTACATCACTTAGTGTTTTTCATTTAGATTCAGTTACAGTTTAACACTTAATACAAAAAGTAAAATTTGTGTCTGAATATGTTTAAAAAGTTTTCTTCTTTCTTATGACACAAAACTACAAATAAAATTGAAGATAATGACAATTTTTGTCAGTAATACATTTGTACCATGAAAATTAGATGATTTACAATTTTTCTCAACTTAAATTTACATTACATAATTAAATTTTTGAGACAAAATTTAGAAATAATAAGAAATTCCACCTTTTCTAACTTTACAAAATTGCATCAGATACATTAATTGATAGGCTTTAGAATATGTAGAGACAAACTTTATTTCAGGGCGTCCATGCCAATATGTAGGATAATCATTTCTTAAAAGTTGAATTATTAAGTAAAGCTTTTTAGGGTAAAAGTCTATGAGATGTCTTTTATAGATATATTTTTTAACCAGGTTTCCGAAAGGAAAAAACTGGTTATTAGATTGAGGTATGTCGGCGGGCCGGACGGGCGGCTAGGCGGTGGCGGGCGGGCGTAAACAATTTCTTCTGTGGCGCAACTCCTTCTACATTTCTCAACGGGATTTTGACCAAACTTGCACAGAAGCTTGTTCATCAAGTGCCCTGGCGCATATTGTCGGTTTTGCGATTGGATAATATTTGACCTAATTATGGCCCTTTGTTTTTTTTCCTTATATAGAATATATAGTGAACAATTTCTTCTGTGCGCAACTCCTCCTACATATGTCAACGGATTTTGACCAAAGCTTTCACAGAAGCTTTGTCATCAAGTGCCCTGGGGCATATTGTCGGGGTTTTGCGATTGGATAATATTTGACCCCTAATTATGGCCATTTTGTTTTTTTTCCTTATATAGAATATATAGTGAACAATTTCTTTCTTGTGCGCAACTCCTCCTACATTTCTCAACCGATTTTTTGACCAAACTTTCACAGAAGCTTTGTCATCAAGTGCCATGGCCGCATATTGTCGGGGTTTTTGTGATTGGATAATATTTGACCTAATTATGGCTCTTTTTTTTTTTTTCCTTATACAGAATTTCAATATATAGTGAACAAATTCTTCTGTGCTGAACTCATCCCTAACATTTCTCAACGAATTTTGTTCAAACTTTCACAGAAGCTTTGTCATCAAGTGCCCTGGCGCATATTGTTGAGGTTTTGTGATTGGATAATTTTTTACCTAATTATGGCCCTTTGTTTTTTTTCCTTATACAGAATATATATTGAACACTTCTTCTGTGGCAATTCCTCCTACATTATTCATGTTTTACATTGCATAGTTACATTGTTTGTTGCTTGTATTTGTATTTCAAATACAACATATTTATCTACAATGGTGATAATTGAAAACCTGGTTTCGTGGCATTGCCATGTTTCTTGTTTAAAATGTTTACTCTCATCATTCTATATTATGAGTGATAGTGCTGTTATTGGCCACAGCCTTAACTTTAAAGTACATGCTATAGAGTATTAATATCTCCAAGTGAAGTTTAATGTTTCTGCTTTAACTTAACATTGAAACTGGCTTTGCTTTATCTTCACTTGGATTGATAGATCATGAGCACATATTGTTTAAGGCATCAAGAGGCCATATTGTTTTTGGTCTGTATATCACAAAATGTATAACTTGACCAAAAATAAAAGTCCCTGCGCTACAGTCTCCAAACTTCATGCACCTTTATGAGCTCTTACATGGATGCAAGTTTTTTTTCAGGGCATGAAGGTCAGGGTTTTGTTACAAATTTCATCTGTTTACTATTAGATTATGAAGGAAAATGATTATGAATTACAGTTTTTAAGGTTTTTCCAAATTTTCAACTTGCACCCCATGCTTAACTGGGGGGACATAACCACTTTTAGGTCAAATGGTCAAGGGCTCCTAAAGGGTATTGCTTCCTTTTCAAATATAGTGTTTGTAAAAAAAGAAGGGAAATTGACGTTATTTTCAGATTGTTCAGAACTTTAATAAAGAAGTTCAAAGTAGGATGCAATTTTCCTTCAGAACTTTAATAAAGAAGTTCAAAGTAGGATGCAGTTTTCTACCTTATATCAAGGACAATTATAGCTCACCATACCTTAAGTTTTAAATGAAGGCTGGATGCTCAGTTGTCTAGCTTTCAATTTTGACCTTGCTTTTTGCTGTTAGAATGTTAATAAGGGTTTTTTGTTTATTTTTTTTTGTGATAAACATTTTGATAAAACCGTTTCTTTTAAAGCGGGTGTCAATAAATTTGCACCTCCTGAATGTTGAGAAATAAATGCTATTTTTTTTTTCTATTTCAGTAAACATCAAGAATGTGGGCATGCTGACATGGACATCTTTGTGTTTTACATGTACATATTCGTGTGTCATAAAGAGAAAATCTGACTATTCTGGTGTACTATTTTTATTTTTTATACAAAACCATTTTGATTTTTCTTCAAAAGCAAAGTTTTGAGTGTTGCATTGTGGGTCCTTTTTATATGCCCCAAAGCCTTCATGACATTGGTATGGCATTGTCTTACCCTTCTGTAGATAATTGACTCTGCATGGTTTTGTTACCCCCTGTCAAAGACCAGAGGGATAAAGATTAAATTTCTGCCCCCACTTCGAAGAAGAGATATTGCTTTGCCACTTGTCGGTCCATCAGGTCCGTAGACCAAAATGGTTTCCGAGTGATAACTAAAGAACCCTTAGGCCTAGGGGAACTTTCAAACTTGGTATGGTGATTGGTCATTACCAATAGCTGACCCCTAATGATTTGGGGTCAAAGGTCAAGGTTTTCACATTGATCTTGTAAGCAAAAACGGTTTTCTGATCAATAACTAAAGAACCCTTAGGCCTAGGGCACTTTCAAAACTTGGTATTATGGTGATTGGTCATGATCAGTAAAATGACCCCTTGATTTTGGGAGTCAAAGGTCAAGGTCACATTGACCTCTTAGGTAAAAAACGGTTTTCCGATCAATAACTAAAGAACCCTTAGGCCTAGGGGAATTTCAAAACTTGATATGGTGATTGGTCATGACCAGCAGATGAACCCTATTGATTTTGGGGTCAAGGGGACAAAGGTCAAGGTCACATTGACCTTGTAGGTAAAAACGGTTTCCGATCAATAACTTAAGAACCCTTAGGCCTAGGAACTTCAAACTTGGTATGGTGATTGGTCATGACCCCTATTGATTTTGGGGTCAAAGGTCAAGGTCACATTGACCTTGTAGGTAAAAACGGTTTCCGATCAATTAACTAAAAACCACTAAGGCCAAGGAACTTCAAACTTTGTATGATGATTGGTCGTAACCAGCAGATGACCTCTATTAAATTTTGGGTCAAGGTCACATTGACCTTGTAAGTAAAAACAGCTTCTGATCAATAACTAAAGAACACTTAGGCCTAGGAACTTCAAACTTGGTATGGTTATTGGTCATGCCCAGCAGATGACCCCTATTGATTTTTGGGTCAAAGGTCAAGGTCACATTGACCTTGTAGGTAAAAACGGTTTCCAATCAATAACTAAAGATTGCTTAGGCCTAGAAACTTCAAACTTTGTATGATGATTGGTCATGGTAAGCAGATGACCCTATTGATTTTGGGGTCCAAGGTCAAGGTCACATTGACCTTGTAGGTAAAAATGGTTTCCGATCAATAACTAAAGAATACTAGGAACTTCAAACTTGGTATGATGATTGGTCATGACCAGTCGATGACCCCTATTGATTTTGGGGTCAAGGGGTCAATGTCATATTGACCTTGTACTTAATGACGGTTTCTGACCAATAACTCAACAACTCGAGTTGCCTTGGTTGATATTTTTATATTAACCGTTTACCCCATGAGCATATTGCGAAAAATGGCCATTTCATTGAAAAGCCTCCTGTAACAAGTTCAAACTGCTATGAAACTATGAAAATTGCTTCAATACTAATTAATACTAATACAAAATTTTCTTGGCGATGAGGGGGACTCCGCCCCCCTTCAAACCTCCCAAAAGGGGGCACATCCCCCTTCTGGCAACCCCCTGATGTAATATTTGGATGGGGGACGGCGCTGAAAAAGTGGTCAGTTTTTTTAACAACATTTCTCAAACGAAAAACAGTGGGGCCTAAATAGGGCATTTTTTCACTGTTTGAGGCCTCAAAAGGGGGGGGGGGCAAAAAGCCGTCGAAACACGCTTATATGAGGGAAAAGGTTAAACTAAAAATGCTTTTGGTTTACACATTTGAAGGTCTTATGTAATATAACAACTTGGCTGTCATTAATGAGGCCTACATGATTCATAAAATTTATGCATATATTATTTGGTAAGATTTCTTTAATCACTTAAATTGCTTCACACAACCTATGGGGGTCACAATTATTATTACCTTGTGACTAGTCATGACCCAGTATGATACTAGATAACCAATTAACCCTTATAAATTGTTTGTTCACTGGGTCAGAAGTCA